ATAATTGCGTGGAGAAATATTCTGCAGAAAGAAAAAGGCTCATCACGGGCTGCTATGACACTGATGATGAAGACTAGTGAATAGGATTTATGATAATAGTACATTTGTATACCTCAAGCACTAGATTCGTATAACATTATGTTCGGAGGTATTATTTCTCTGTGCAAGCTACTCTTGAAAACACGAATAATTATATAAAATTCTCTAATTCGCCATATTTACATAAAATTCTCTAAACATTTGCAAACAACTGTCTTCCCAATATTATTATGTTTCTCCTTAAATCCAAGAGCTATTATATTTCATTAAATGTCAATAAACTGCAAATTCACATAATAAGCATAGATCCAAATACCATATAAAAGCAGGAAAATCAAAAGTATTTAAAAAGAAAAAAAAAGAAGAATTTAGGAAATTTATAATATAAAAATTGGAAAAAAAATTCAGATGATTACAAAACTTTCAAAGTTTGAACTTTTTTTCCGCAAATATTAAAGCATCCGAAAGTATTCGAGAAAAATATAACAAAAAACTTTCGAAATTGTACTTTTTTGCTAGAAACATTTTTAACTCTATTTATGTTTTCAAAAAAAATACGTAAAAGGAACTTTCAAAATTTACTCGTAACTTACGGTGAAATTAACTTTTATCCAAGTTACCTTGAATACCTTTTTAATAGATTACTAATATTTAAAATTGTTTTAAATGTTTGTTGTTTACTTTTTTTTCTGTAAATCTTGAAATACTAGAACATGATGTTTTTTAATAAAGTATGATATACGAAGACAATGTTTAAGAAATAAAATATTTTACAATAAAAATTTTGAACGGTTACAATTTAAAAACCTTAATTTAGAGTCTTTATTATAGTAAATGCGAATGTAGAATTTGCCTATACTTTAATACTACTAAACAATAAACTTAAAGTACATAGCTATTTAAAGAATCTAAACAAACATCCCATCTTATTCTTCATTCTGAAATATCACTTCTTTTCAGCTTGATCTATCACGGAATTCTCGATATTCATTCAATAGAAAGACAGAAACATCTTTCTGGGAAAAAAAAACATTTTATACCTTGATAGTAACATCTAACTTTATCGTATCAAATAGAATAAACAACGCTAAAAAACAAACAAATTTAATTCAAAGCTTTGTGCGTATTTATTTTATGATAGAATGAAAAGAACTAAATATGGCTTACTGCTGCAGTAAGAGTTCTGCTATAACAAACTCTTACGCAACAAATTCCATATAATTTCTTTTTGTAACGAATATGGAGATTTTGCATTTGGTATGGCAGAACATTTTAAATAATAGAGAATCGCATAACGTTTATTTTAAACAGGTTTTAAAATTGTCATATTAACTAATCGTGTTCACTAATACTTCGATAATTTTACATTTNATGCACTAGATTTGTATAATTTTATGTTCGGAGATATTATTGCTCTCTGCAAGGTACTTTTGAAAACACAAATAATTATATAAAATTCTCTAATTCACCATATTTACATAAAATTCTTTAAACATTTGCAAGTAACTGTCTCCCCAACGTTATTATGTTTCTCCTTAAATCCGAGAGCTATTATATTTCATTAAATGTCGATAAACTGCAGATTCGCATAATGAGCATAGATCCAAACAGGAAAACAGGAAAATCAAACGTATTTAGAAAGAAAAAAATAAGAATTTAGGAAATTTAAAATGTAAAAATCAGAAAAAAAATTCAGATGATTGCAAAACTTTCAAATTTTGAACTTTTTTCCGCAAATATTAAAGTATCCGAAAGTATTCCAGAAAAATATAACAAAAAATTTTCGAAATTGTGCTTTTTTGCTAGAAACATTTTTAACTCTATTTATGTTTTCAAAAGAAATACGTAAAAGGAACTTTCAAAATTTACATGAATTACAAACTTACAATCTAATTAACTTTTACTCAAGTTACCTTGAATACCTTTTTAATAGATTACTAATATTTAGAATCGTTTTAAATGTTTGCTGTTTACTTTTTTTCTATAAATCTTGAAATACTTGATCATAATATATTTAATAAAGCATGATTTACAAAGACAATGCTTCAGAAACAAAATATTTTACAGCAATGGGTATAATTTAAAAACCTTAATTTAGAGTCTTTATTATAGTAAATGCGAAAGCAGAATTTGCCTATACTTTAATATTACTAAACAATAAATTTAAAGTACATAATTATTTAAAGAATTTAAGCAAACATCCCATAATACATTTTATTCTTCATTCTGAAATATCACTTCTTTTCAGCTTGATCTATCACGGAATTCTCGATATTCATTCAATAGAAAGACAGAAACATCTTTCTGGGAGAAAAAAACATTTTGTACCTTGATAGTAACATCTAACTTTATCGTATCAAATAGAATAAACAAACTACGTATCGCCAAAAAACAAATAAATTTAATTCAAAGCTTTGTGCGTATTTATTTTGCGATAGAATGAAAAAGAACTAAATATAGCTTACGGTTGCAGTAAGCGGTTGCAGTAAGAGTTTCGCTATAACAAACTCTTCCGCAACAAATTCTATATAATTTCTTTTTGTAAAGAATGTAGATATTTTGCATTTGATATTACAAAACATTTGAAATAATAGAAAATCGCATAACGTTTATTTTAAGCAGGTTTTAAAATTGCCATATTAACTAATCGTGTTCACTAATACTTCGATAATTTTACATTTTAGTATAGTAAAGGCGTCGAAGTCTAAGTGTAGAAAACTTCTGAATCCTTATTTGTAAAAACAAATAAATAAAAAAGACTTAAACTTAGCTTTCAAGTTTTAAACAACAGACAAAATAATATTTTTCTCAAACCAACCAGCGAAATGAAAGCTGTATAATATTTTATTAAAAATAAAAATTAAAATTGATAGCTATTCAACAATTTTCAAAAACAAATTATCAGAAAAGATAGTTGCATAAAATAAGCTAGAACTATTTGTTAGCAAAAGATCTATGTAAAGTGCACTCGTTTTAAGTGATAGCGATATGCGAAGTGCACCTTTTATAAGTTATGTAAATTTTAGACAATGTTTGATTTTACAACTTCAAGTTTAAAAGCAGTGCATGCATTTTATTTTTTAAATTGAACACAAAGCACAAAATACCTTTAAACCACTCGTATTTGTAACGTAAAATGTATTTTAACATTTTATCCTTTTCATTAAATTTTAAAGTTCATTATCGTTACTATAGCCTCATTATTATAGTACTTAAAAATCATTTCATTAAAAATTAAAAATTTTATTTAGCATTAAAAAATTATATTTTGAACAATTCATTTGCAGGCTAAGTGAAAATCTAAGTCCTTTTCCTCACTTTAAAGATTTGTTTATTAAGCAAATATTCTTATGAGTTTGTAAAACATTTTTAAAGTTAAATTTTAATTGGATAATTAAAATTATTACGTCTAATTGAGCGGTTAATTTTAACTTGTTACTCATTCATCAATAAGTTTCTGACGAGCGTTGAACCGCAATATAATGCAAATTTGCAGCAAATTATAACACAAAACCATCTTAGCTTAACATGATATTAAAACTTGAAAGATAAAAAAAGTTCAGTTATTGCAGTTTATTAACACTTATTAAGAATACAGTAAATATGCTTGATAATATATTTTCACGATACCAATTTCTATTTCGGCGTTTAAACACCGCTATTTTGAGTTTTGAAGTGTGTTCTGAAGCGCTAAAAGTGTTTTTTATACTTTAACGTTAAAGGGCTGAGAAATGACTAAAATATAATTTTATCTCTTAAAAAATATATCAAGTATAGACAAATTATCAATAAAATATTTGACAATTAAATATATGTCAATTAATTAAAGTTCTCCGCTACTAAAGCGATTACATTATTATTTTCTTTACATCTTTATCAGCAAGAAAAATTAGTTGTATTTTATACAACCGCTTATTAAAAGTCAACCAATCTATAAAAAGTTTCATATTTAAACAATAATTAAAAAAGTTTATGATACAAAATGATTGAATGATTCTTAAATTAAAAATTCAAATTTAAGTTCCACCACGTTTCTTAATTAAATTATTTAAAAAAAATTCTTAATGATTCCTAACTCTTAATTATTCTTATGATTCTTAATTCTTAAAAAAAAAAAAAATTATCAACATAAAGTGATGTTAAAATTACCGCACTGTTTAGTAATGATATTTCCAATAAAAATGAAAAATAGTATATGTATATAATTTTAGTCTAAATCAAAAATATACGGTATTTAAATCATTCATTTGGATTACCACATATTTAGTTATGGATACAAAATTCAAAAGTAAATTTAACCAAATGAGTGGTTTTTGTTCCATGCTCTAATATGTTATGAAAAAAAAACAAGTTTTACCGCATTTATCATAATTGAATGTTAATTTTAGCAAAATTATTATTAAATCACTTAATAAAATTGCGGAACTTTTTGGTGTTCCCAAAGAGCCAGTAACACACCAAAATTTATCGTATTCTAGATCATAATTTTATTCTCTGAGTAACTATAGTAGACTTTTATTCATTTTTTCGTTTGCAGATAAGAAAAACTAGTCTGAAAATACTAAAATTTTTAGATATCTAATTTAAATCATACATTGAGTGAAACAGATTATAAACCAAATGGTTTGGGTAAGGATATTTCTTCACAAAATAATTTTGCAAACATTTTTATTCCTTTTGAAAACATTCATTTTATAACATTAACTCTTCATTGTAGAACCCATTAATTCACTAATTTTAATTAGATATCGATTTTAAAAAAATGAAATAACATTATTTTTTCCATTACGGGAATTCTTTCGTTTACAAATAAGATTTTAAGTCATCCGTTAAATTATGTCTTGTATGTACAGTATCTTCTTATTACACTATTTTTCTTGCATATTCTTTCATATTTTACTCTAAAAAAAAAACAATTTTTAAATAATCAGGAACAAAAATAGTCATTAAAAATTTCTTACCGTATGTCAAAATAACAAAGCTAAAACCAGGTAAACACAAAGATAAAAATTCTTCTATCGGATCCTTAGAGACAACTATCCCTTTTGATCAAGAGAGAACAATTTATTCGAAGGGTGGTTAAAAAAACCATTGTAATAAAATCTTAGAACTCGATCTACAAGAAATCATTCCCGACAAAACCCAGCGAACTCCCCAATGCGACCCACAAAGCGTGGATGATACCGACACCGACAGAGAACACGAAGGGACAGCAGATTTCGTTTCCCGCCAATCTTTATTCTTGCCAGCGCCAACTAGTGGTAAATGGATAAACACATAAGTTTTAAGAAAAGTTGTGAAGAATATAGTCCTTGTTTTCTAAAGAATAATTTTTTATTCCGAAGAGTACTTAATGGGACACTCAAGAATTTTTATGGAAAAATCTTTGTTATTACACGTGTGTGAAATAAAGAAATATATTATTGATCTTATGTTCCATTGATCTTAGATTTTAAAGACTCTTTTTGTTTCAGTGCTTCTTTTTTTNTTTTTTTTTTTTTTTTTTTTTTTTTTTTTGTAAATTTTAAAAGGAACATATAACAAATACGATTCGCGTGTTTCTGAATGAACCTGAAAAGGAAATGAAATGACGTAATGTGTATGTAATGACTTACAGTTAACAAAAAAAAAACAAAAACAAAAAAAAGGAAGACTCTCGTAACAAGTTGTTATCAGATAACTGGATTTCAAATCATATCAATTTTCTTAATTCGAAGATTTTTTTTTTATTCAAAAACGATGCATTTAGGAGCGACAATAATTAAAAAAGTTTATGATATAAAATAATTGAATGATTCGTAAACTTAAAATCCAAATTGAAATTCCACCACGTTTCTTAATTGAATTCTTTAAAAAAAATTCTTAATGATTCTTAATTCTTAATTATTCTTAGTGATTCTTAATTCTTAATTATTCTTAGTGATTCTTAATTCTTAAAAAAAAATTCGAAAAATTCGAATGCGTGAATTGTGGAAAATAAAAATCAATTTTAAGCTATAATTTCACTTTTTTAAAAAAAAAAAATGGCATTTCATGCTAGCATTTTAAAATTTCAAAAATGAATCTCTTCTCAGTTAACCCCGCATTATTTAAATGGTTTAAAGTGGTCTTTTTAATTCAGTTTTTAAAAAGGTAAAAAAAAAAATATTTTACTAAGCATAAATTTTTTCTAAATAATTTTAAGAAACTGACCTTATTTGATTAAAAAAAAAAGTTGGTTTTTTTTTTCAATTTTTGCATGTAAAAGAACATCAATCAAAAATTTGAAAACTGAATACCAATTTATGCTGAGACACAAATTCGTCAAAATTTTCAATAAAGTTAAAGGGAAATTAGACTTTAAGGATGTGATTTTGTGCATTAAATGTTTTCGATTTAAAAACTCTGAATAACTAATTCAAAGAAAATCTAATATGCAATTATACAATAAATAACAGAAGATTTAAACAAAATTTAAGTAACTGACTGAAATAATGAAACAAAAATTTATTTAAATAACTGACTGAATCTAACTGACTGGATAATTAATTGAAACCAACCAAATATTAATTTAGAAATTAGCTTCATCCTTACCTATAGAAATTTACGTGAATTTAGCCTAAAATTATTATTCTCCGCCCGTAAAATAATTTTAAATAACTCCTTTGACTTTTCTTTGTCTCTTAAAAAATTTTAATAGTTTGAAAATAAGTTTTAAATAAGTTTTAAATAGTTTCAAAATAAGTTTCAAAACAGTCTAATATTCATTTCGAAATTAGATTTATTCTTATATATAAATTTTTTATATACTATTAAAAAAATACTATTGTACGTCTTTAAAATAAATATAATTGACTATTCTGCGTTTATTTAAGTCTTCTACATCTTTAAGGTTTAAAAAGGGCAAATATTCATTTAGAAATTCGATTTATTTTTACCTGTAATAATTTGTTGCATACACTTAAAAAGAGAGACTATTCTATGACTCTAAAAATAAAAATCGTCTGCAAAATACGATGTTCAAATATTCTATTACATTACATACATTATCGCTTGACGTTATAAAATATTTTTGCCCACATTATTATGGTTATAAAAATGCTTATTACGTACAAATATTATTCCTTTTCATTCATAGATTAAAAAATACTAAACATTATTTTTAGGCTTAAAAATTAAATTATGTATTAAGTGAAACAGATTTTAAGACAAATAGTGTTGAGTGAACCTATTTCATCGCAAAAGTTTTTAGAGATGATATGAAACTTCATTCGACTCAAAAAAACTAAATCTAGTAGTAAGAGAAAATATGAAGTCTAAAAATTTCCAGTTATAAGTTTTTAAATATATTTTTTCAGATTTAAAAAAGGTGTCTAAAAACTTTTTCGGAATTTAATCAAGCAATTAATTAAATTTAAAAAAACAGACCCACAACTTTAGTTTTTAGAAGAAGAAAAAACATAATTTCTTATCTGTATTCTTTAAACGAAGAAGGATCCAGCTGCAGTTTAGAAAATATAACATGCTAAATTTAATTAGATGAGAAGTTGGAATTCCGAATCTTTTAATATTTACGAATTTGAATTTTTTCTAAGCCTGTATTTGTGAATATAAAACTTTTATTTTTCTGATTTTATTTATTTGATGCGAATAATAAAATTAGAGAAACCCCAGACACAGAACACGTCGATTTGATAGAGATAGTTTTAATTAATTTATTGGCAATGATTTTTAACCGGTTTAGAAACGGACATTAGTGAAAAATTCAAGTTCGATATACTAAGTTCTAATGAAAAGACATTTTTTATTGATATCTATTGATATCTATAATTCAAAAAATCATTTTAATTGTTTAAAAAGCAGTTTACAGTTTATTAAATAAATTTTGTTTATTTTTTCCTCAAAAAATTTACTAAAATTATTTTAAGAGTTCATAAATTTTTTCTTATCTCTAGAAATATACTGTAGTTAGAAGAAAATAAACAAACACAGGAACACAAACCCAATGTATAAATGGTTATACCCAAATGTGGAAAAAATATTTAGCAACAGTTGGTAAAAAACAAATTATTGCTTACCGATACAAGTTTCTAAAAATCATTTTTTATTCAAAAATATTTATAAGCTTTTGTTATTATGCAATGGTTGGAAACAAAAGTTTAGTTACGACATAGAAACTGGAAAAAAAAATTCTAAACTTTATACCTTCACTTAACTCTTTACCTTTAGTTATGTAACCCTTCTAGACCTTTCTAGAAATCAATTCCTTTTCTAGATCTTTAGTTATCCATTTTGATAAAAGCTTCCTAAACTTTTTTCTACTGTGCAAAAGAGTAGCATAATTTATATCATTCTCCATAAATTGGAAAAATTTCAAAACTCTTTACTGCTATCCAATTCTATTTGTGAAATTATCAAAACTCATTACTTCTCCATATCTGTAATTATCATTTTATTTTGCGAAAATATGAAATCATAAATTTTAAATTCAGAGTGATTTTTTAGATTCATTCCGTTGTTTGTTTTAAGCTTTAACCTTCGTGGACCTTGAAAACTCCCGTTAATTTTTGTATAATCAAAGCTTCACGTAGTACAACAGTGATTATCATATAAGAGTGTCCTCTACTCTACAATACCGTGAAAATCATTTGTTTGTCTAAACTAAAATAATAGCGTGGCAAATTTTTAGTATTTTCCTCGATTATCAAAAGTGTCTGTTGGTAAAAGTCAAAGAAATTTTCAATTTTTTTTTCTTTTTTTTAAAATGATTTTTGACAATGCTATGAGACTCGTTTGGCTAACGTTGTCGTGTTAGGTGGAAAAAATTTCAACTGCATTTTATGGAAATCACGAACTCGGTATTTATGTTACAGTAAAAACCTGATGTCTGATATATCCTAGGTTTTTCCGGTAAAACCTAATTCTCCCCAAAGTGGCTCGGTAAAACATCGAAGTGAAATTTAATATGACTCCATTTCGACCTTTTACTAAGCCATTGCGTTGAGACCTAGTTATTGCCAAACCTCTTTGGTAAATCCTTAATCCTAGGTTTTACTGATAAAACCAAGAATTTAGCACATTTCGAGCTTCTACATTAGCATATACATAGGAGAAAGGAAACTATTTTGAAAGTAAAATAAAAAGTATTTAAATTTAAAAGTTTATTTTAAGTATTTAAAAAAATTTATAAATTTGAGAATCTATATTATTCATGAAAGAAAAAAATTTGAATTTAGCAAGCGTCACTTAATATTTTTCATCTATAAATAGTAATTCGCTATAGCAATCGTGACTATGATGACCATATTTTTTATATTTGGTTGGCCGATGAATAAGTTTATAAAGCAGAGAAAGAAGGAAAGCAAATCAATGGCCGAATCATAATATCAGATAGTAAATAAATAAATTATACTGTGTGTATCTTATTTATAATATGGCATTCGACTTCTGAATAAAATTCACAAAATATGTAATATTTTGAGTTTGCAAAGTATTTTTAATTTATAAAATTTGATTAAGTTTTTCTAACGATTAAAAAAAATGTAACGTAATCCATTCCTATTAAATACTACACTGTAAAAAAGGGTTTCACAAAATTGAGAAAGCATGAGTCAAAATTGCTCCGAAATAAATAACCGAATTTGAAAACCCCATGTATTCAAAACTGAAATAGCATAGGCTCATTTTTGAGGAAAATACTTTGTTTCAAATATGAGTGGAGGTGTGTGAGAGAGAGATTCCTTGGCCCCAACCTGGATTCGAACCACGGACCTCCGGGATCGTAATAGAATGCTCTAACAGTTACAGTTGTGCAACCCAATCCAGATAGAGTTAGTAAGCTTTATATAGTGGCATCATGACATTGTAATTTCATGTTTCACTGGTACAAAAAGTTGCAATTAGGAAAATGCGTTCCCCGTAGCTTAGTCAGGAGATTGGTAACTTTAATTCTACTTTTTACTTATTTCTCTGTAACTTAAAAATTTTTAAGCCGAGGGAATGTATCTCGTTATGCATCAGTACGGCGGCTACTGTATAAAGCTTCCTAACTCTCCCTGTACTGGAGGGCATAACTATAGTTGTTGGAGCATCCTTGAAAACGAATCCTGCCGGAAGCCAACGAATATCTCTCTCACTCATTTCTCCCTCCACTCACTTTTTAAACCACGAATTTTGCTCTAAAATGAGTATATGCTGCTTCAATTTTAAATTTTAAATAAATGGGATCTTCAAATTTGACTA